GAGAGCAGCCCCCCAGCAAATGCACACAGCTATGGCCATGATGGTAGCAGCTACAATGACCATCATGGCCTGCACTCCCTCCCTCTCTCCGCGCACCAGCAGAATGAGGACGAGTGCGCGGTGTGTGGCGACGGTGGCGAGCTCATCTGCTGCGACGGCTGCCCCAAGGCTTTCCACCTGGGCTGCCTCGTGCCCCCGCTCACTGAGGTGCCCAGGTGCGCCTTGCATGACCCCTCCATAGTTGCGCCCCCACGGCTGGCACAGCCCTGGCACCCCTCATGGCCCTGTTGTGCCCCCACAGCGGGACATGGCAGTGCTGCTCCTGCAACACCCAGCCCCACGTGCACCAGGACCCTGCGGTGCAGCTGGAGCTGCTGGCCAGCACCCAGGTACCTGCCAGGCTGGGCCTCCCACCTCGGGGCTCAGCCAGCCCTGGTCAGGAGCCCTCAGGGCAGAGGCAGCTCCGCTCCCCACCTCAGGAGCTGGTGCCAAGCACCGCGTGCAGCATCTGTGGGGCTGGAGGTAACGTGAACTACTGCGGCCGCTGCCTGGCAGCTTGCCACCCCTACTGCCGCTTCCCCGTGCACGGTGGCACGGGCCGCCCCACAGGGTGAGTCCTCTGAGGCCAAGGCTGAGCCTTGGTGCTGCTATCCTTGGCTCACTGGATGCGTGAAACAGCTGCACACAATACACACGCTACTGGAGGGTCCCTGGATGGAGTCTGACTTCTTTTGCCCTCCCCACCTGTTGCAGGGGGCTCCTGCTGTGCAAGTCCTGCAGTGGTAGCTCAGACATGACTCACCTGGAGGGAGCTACAGTCACTGCAGACAACGCGCCACCAGCAGGGAAGGTGAGTACTGCTACAGTTTTGCTCCGGGATGGGGAAATGACGGTGCCCAGCAAGGGCGCAGCTCCCCACCACCTGGAGAAGGAAGGAATTACAGCTGTATCAGGACAGCAGGAGGGAAGACGAGCTGCGACCACCCCAGTCCTCGGCAGGGCAGGAAGGGGTGGGTGCTGCTGGGTGTAGGCAAAGGTGTCATCAGACGAAAGGTGCAGCACAACTGGAGCATCCTGGTTGTGCCTGGGAATGAGGGTAGTGCCCCATGTGTCCAAGTGCTGTGGACAGCTGCAGTAGAAGGACTGGGGGAGAAGAAAGGTGGCCCATAGGGAAATCAGCTGGAGGACTGAAACCACTAGTGACCATGAGCCTCTGCCCATAGGGAGGTGACGAGCCCAGTGGGGACATGGCTCTGGGCAAGGAAGAGCTGGACACGCTGCTGGGAGAGGTATGGAACCAAGGGGGCATGGCAGGGCACCACCACGCAGCAAGATGGCTGGAAGAGCAGGGACCACGCTGAGGTATAACACAGACCCTCGGTGATGCCCACAGGGCTCCTGGGAGGGAATCCTGCAGTGGGCCCTGCAGAACATGACACGGCCCCGTGTGGAAAACCATGGGATCTTCACATAGGATCACGGAGGGAAAGAACACAGCAGGATGGAGAAGCGATATCCACCTCAGTAAAAAGATACAGGACAAAAAAACAAAAGAAATGGACAAGGTGATACTGCACTGATGTTACAAGGAAAGGAAAGAGTTAAAAATAAATGCAAAAAGTGATATAAATGAAGAAAAAAGAAAAAAAAATAAGAAAACAACACCCACACCCCCCGCGCCATGCACAAAGTGTACACCGGTGCCACACTCAGGATGCTCCGCTCACAAGCCCTCGCTCCCCA